TCAGCGTTCAACGTTGATTCAATGTTTCTGGCTGACATTGATTCAATGTTGTTTCAATCATTCTGTGCTATCTGGGATGTCATCCGGCCACTGTGCTCCAACCACCTGAGACAGACACGTTCCTCCCCATCCCAACAGGGATGCGTCTGTGAACACCGATAGGTGTGACATAGGTCTGCTGAGGGGACCTCCCTCTGCCAGAATGCTGGGGCTTCCCCATTTAGTCAGATCGGCTACCACTGAAGGAGGAACAGAGATCATGCGCCTCTTCTTGCACACAGGATCTATGCGCAGGCGAGCGAACCATCTCTGAAGGCTTCTCATGTACAACAAACCCAGCAGAATCACCACGTGAGCCACTGATATCCCCAGCAGCTGAGTGACTGACGGAGCTGCCACTATGCTGCGAGGCCTGACAAAGCACAGCTCCGCTGTCAGAGCCTCGATTATCGGCTGTGCTAATGGGGCTCTCATCATAACTGAGTTCAGCTCCACTCCCAGATAAACGATCATCTGGGATGAAATAGCCAAATTCTTTTCCCAGTTGATGGAAAATCCCAGACTCAGCAGATGTGATGTGTTCCTCTCTGGACCGAGCCAGTAAAAGCAGGTCGTCCAGATAGAAGAGGACTCTCATCCCTGCCATGTGCAGTGGCTGCAGACTGTTTCCACACATTTGGGAAAACGTGTACGAGGCGAGAGAATAACCGAATGGCAGATGGTTTTACTGATACTGGGTCCTCTGGAAGGAGAAACGCAGATACTTTCAGTGTTTCAGCATGATGGGGACGTGGAAGTATGCGTCTTTAAAATCTATGGAGGAGAACCAGTCGTCCTGGTGAATGTTTTCTAGCACCTGTCTGATTGTCAGCATGTGGAATGACCTCTCCGCGATCGAGTTGTTGAACAGGTACAGATCGAGAATTTCCAACAGGAGGTCTCACTCCTCCTGTTTTTGGGGACCAGAAAATAGCAGGAATAAAACTCCGCATTTTCTTCTCCCTTGGGAACCATGGAAATTACACATTTCGCCACAAGTTCCTGCAGCTCTGACAGAAGAGCGGCGTTCTGCTCCAGAAGTGGTAGAAGAGTCTCCAAGGTGGAGGCCTGCCTCCAAACTGCAGCATGTAATCCCTGCTGATTAACCAATCCATCCATCTGTCCAAGGAGCATCCGCTCCACCACTCTGAATAATGTTCTGAAAGCGGGCGTGCATTCATGTGAGGTGCTGTGGTTTGCATGAACTATAGCCAAGTCAGACCCCTACCGCCTTCCCCTGCTTCGGAGATTCTCTGGGGTACTCACGGGGGCCAGAAAGGGCTGGTTGTTAGCCTCCATGCTGCATGACACGGCCGCGTTCATGTCAGGCCGAGGGCGAACCCGCGAGAGCACAGGAGCGGCAAGAGGGCTAAGGCGTCAAGGTGAGGTCGGCGTGCTGGGGACCCAGGCAACCCTCGAAGATCCGGTGCCCATCAAAAGACATGATGTACCCTGTCTGACAAGACGGGCAAAACGGACATACGCTCTTAAAACGGTGCTATCTTTCGCTGAAGAAAAAGAAGGAGCCGTTTGTCCAGTCTGACCGTTATTTATACAGACCGGGGTGAAGCCCACCCAGTAGGTGGGCATGGATTCAGCTTTTTTCAGTGCTGCGCTGCGCGCGAGGGATAAACCCACTAGCGATAGCCTTAAAGGGCAAAGCCTATAAGAAATAGAACAAATACTTTTAGCAACGTGGTGTGAGATGAATAAGTTGCAATTAATGGTAGATTTGCTTTTTCAATACCTTTTAATCATTCTGATTAAGTCCAAATTGTGGATTCTCATATAACTTATTCATATATTTCACAGGTGTCAAACTTCAGTCCTGGAGGGCCACTGACTGCAACTTTTAGATGTGCCTCTGCTGCACCACACCTGAATAGAATAATTAGGTCATTAGCAGGCCTCTACACAAGAAGGAGGTAATTAAGCCATTTCATTCCAGTGTTTTGTACCTGTGGCACATCTAAAAACTGCAGGATAGTGGTCCTTGAGGACTGGAGTTTGACACCCCTGATATATTTGAATTTCTTATTTGGCAGGCAAAATGCACAAGAATATCAAATTCATAAGACAAAAACTGCACTGCACCACAATAAATCATAAGTAAATTATCACCTGAAAACCTGTGCCAAGTCAACACAATGCAATCACTGACAGAAAAAGTGAAGCACCGAGAAGGAACAGTCAGAGGTTATTGTGTTATTTGCTACACCATTCATGTAAATATGGGTTAATTGTAGGCTTGCATGAGGCTGGGCTGTGAACCTAACGTAACAAAAACAGTGAGTGTGAGGAAGTCCAGCAGGAGCTATATTTGACATGTTATTAAAATCAGTTGAAACTGTGACTATTTCATAGTGAAATCATTTATAGACCAGAGTTAGTTGACTTTTAGCTTGAAAATCTGACAAATATGCTGCATTTGCGATGAAAAAATCAGTCACTTACTGCACTTATTGTGTGGAGGTGTTTGCTGACGTGTCACACTTGTGTGACAACGCTGTGACCAAAGTCTGCAATATAGTGATATGACATTCACAAATGAGATGTTCTTCTGAAACTTTACTATGAACGATAGGACTGGAGTCTCACTGAGAATCGTTCTTTGTTTTTGTAATGCTCTGCACGCACTCCAGTAACTATTATTCTATTTGATCAAAAATAGAACAATTTCTATTATTCTATTATTGAATAAATATATTTATTCAATGATTTATTTGATGATTGAATATATTTATTTAATCAAGAACGTAAGATCACACAGAACACTCGTATTCCGTGTACATCACGTGTTATTTTCATCACGTGTCATGGTGGTAGACATTATAGTTCTGCTACCTGGCTTCATGCAACAGTAGGCAGAGTGAGAAAGTATGGTGCACTCTTTCTGCTTGGTTACTTCTTGATTGTTGCTATTTGGTCAGTTTTTATAATTGAGTGTTGCTT